ACTAGAAGTCCTAGCCTCAGCAATCAGACAACAAAAAGGAAATTAAAGGCATCCAAATTGGCAAAGAAGAAGTCAAACTATCACTCTTCACAGATGATATGATACTGTATGTGGAAAACCCAAAAGACTCCACTCCAAAACTGCTAGAACTTGTACAGGAATTCAGTAAAATGTCAGGATATAAAATCAATACACAGAAATTAGTTGCATTTCTCTACACCAACAACAAGACAGAAGAAAGAGAAATTAAGGAGTCAATCCCATTTACAATTGCACCCAAAACTATAAGATACCTAGGAATATCTTCCTAGAGGTATCAAAGAGGCTAAGAATCTATACTCAGAAAACTATAAAGTACTAACCAAAGAGGCTAAGAATCTATACTCAGAAAACTATAAAGTACTCATGAAAGAAATTGAGGAAGACACAAAGAAATGGAAAAATGTTTCCATACTCCTGGATTGGAAGAATAAATATTGTGAAAATGTCTATGCTACCTAAAGCAATCTACACATTTAATGCAATTCCTATCAAAATACCATCCATTTTTTTTTCAAAGAAATGGAACAAATAATCCTAAAATTTATATGGAACCAGAAAAGACCTCGAATAGCCAAAGGAATATTGAAAAAGAAAGCCAAAGTTGGTGGCATCACAATTCCAGACTTCAAGCTCTATTACAAAGCTGTCATCATCAAGACAGCATGGTACTGGCACAAAAACAGACACATAGATCAATGGAACAGAATAGAGAGCCCAGAAATAGACCCTCGACTCTATGGTCAACTAATCTTTGACAAAGCAGGAAAGAATGTCCAATGGAAAAAAGACAGCCTCTTCAACAAATGGTGTTGGGAACATTGGACAGCCACATGCAGAAAAATGAAATTGGACCATTTCCTTACACCACACATGAAAATAGACTCAAAATGGATGAAGGACCTCAATGTGAGAAAGGAATCCATCAAAATCCTTGAGGAGAACACAGGCAGCAACCTCTTCGACCTCAGCTACAGCAACTTCTTCCTAGGAACATCGCCAAAGGCAAGGGAAGCAAGGGCAAAAATGAACTATTGGGATTTCATCAAGATCAAAAGCTTTTGCAGAGCAAAGGAAACAGTTAACAAAACCAAAAGACAACTGACAGAATGGGAGAAGATATTTGCAAACGACCTATCAGATAAAGGGCTAGTGTCCAAAATCTATAAAGGGCTTAGCAAACTCAACACCCAAAGAACAAATAATCCAATCAAGAAATGGACAGAGGACATGAACAGACACTTCTGCAAAGAAGACATCCAGATGGCCAACAGACACATGAAAAAGTGCTCCATATCACTCGGCATCAGGGAAATACAAATCAAAACCACAATGAGATATCACCTCACACACAAGTCAGAATGGCTAAAATTAACAAGTCAGGAAATGACAGATGCTGGCGAGGATGTGGAGAAAGGGGAACCCTCCTACACTCTTGTTGGGAATGCAAGCTGGTGCAACCACTCTGGAAAACAGCATGGAGGTTCCTCAAAATGTTGAAAATAGAACTACCGTATGACCCAGCAATTGCACTATTGGGTATTTATCCTAAAGATACAAACATAGTGATCCGAAGGGGCACGTGCACCCGAATGTTTATAGCAGCAATGCCTACAATAGCCAAACTATGGAAAGAACCTAGATGTCCATCAACAGACGAATGGATAAAGAAGATGTGGTATATATACACAATGGAATACTATGCAGCCATCAAAAGAAATGAAATCTTGCCATTTGCGATGACGTGGATGGAACTAGAGGGTATCATGCTTAGTGAAGTAAGTCAATCAGAGAAAGACAACTATCATATGATCTCCCTGATATGAGGAAGTGGAGATGCAACATGGGGGGTTAAGGGGGTAGAAGAATAAATGAAACAAGATGGGATTGGGAGGGAGACAAACCATAAGTGACTCCTAGTCTCACAAAACAAACTGAGGGTTGCGGGGGGGAGGGGGCTTGGGAGAGGGGGGTGGGGTTATGGACACTGGGGAGGGTATGTGCTGGGGTGAGTGCTGTGAAGTGTGTAAACCTGGCGATTCACAGACCTGTACCCCTGGGGATAAAAATATATGTTTATAAAAAATAAAAATAAAAAATAAATTTAAAAAAAAAGAAAAGAAAAGAAAAATAAAGTGGAATAAGAACAAACCAAAAATTATTTTATTTCCAATGATTACATCCCCAGGAGATAAACTGTCAAACAGGAAATTTACGTGAGTACAAAGGAAAAATTTTGACTGGAAGCTTCATATTCATCACATTATGCAATCACTTTTTGCCTCAATTTTTTATTAAAATTATAAACATATGGAAAAATATAAAGGATGACCAGTGAACATCTCTATATCCTCCACAAAGTTGACTAATTTTTCACAACACCTAATTTTTTATGTACTTACCTGAAAATGTGCTGCAGATATCATGACTTTTCAAACTTGAAAACTTTTACATGCATCTCCTAAGAATAAAGGCATCATCCTAAATACCTCAATACCATCATCACTTCTAGGAAAATTAAACATATGACATTATCTAAAACCCATTCCATCCTCATACTTCCCCAAGTATCCCCTCCCAAATGTCTTTTATAGTTGCTCTAATTTTTCTGAATCAGAAGCCAACTAAGGATCACACCTTGCTTATGACTTTTGAGTGGCCTTAATCTAGAAGTCTCTTTTTTGTTCTACTACGTTGGCTTTTTGAAGAGTCCAGACCAGTTGTCTTGTACAAAGTCTCAAACTTTGGGTTTGTCTATTTCCTCTTCATGGAATTCAACTTGTTCCTCTATCTCTTGTCTTTCTTATAAACAGGAACATAAATCTGGATAAGAGGTTTAATTAGATTTTCATCAAACACTCTTGGCAAGAATACATCACAGATTATCATGTGCACCTTATGCATAAGGCATCTCATCAGGAGCCACATCACGTCAGACTGTCCCACTAGTAGTGAAACTCGGTTTCTCCAGATCTATTAGATTTGTAATTGGTATCTGTGACCTTTGACACCATATAATGTTCCTTAAATATTTTTTCACCTAATGGGCTTATCAGCCATTGAATTTGCCTAGTTTAATTACATGAAGGATTATAAAATGGTGATTTTTCTGAAACTCTCATTCCCGTTAAAAGATGGCATTCTTCAGTTTACCTTATAGAGAGCTTTCCTTTTACTTTTTCATTATGGTCTCATTTTTACTTAGCATGTTATAACTAATTACAGTGACTATTATATTTGATGTTTAAATTATCTTAAATTTGACCAGTGAGAGCACCTTCAAGTTGGCTCCCATGTCCTTCTGACATTAGCCTTTGAGTGCTTACTCTTGAAGTGCTATCTTTTTGTTTTGTTTCATAAGAAGATACCCCAGACACATCTTCTACTTTCCCTGTCCATATATAGAATCAGCCATTACTCCAATGAGCCCAGGTTCCTTTTAGTGGGGAACAGCATTTAGAAACCAAAATCTGGGTACTAAGCATTCTCATTGCTATTAGGTAACCAAATGTTCTTCTCTAGAATATCTTGCAAATGGCTCTGTCCAGTGTTAAACACTGAGGTCTTTTTAAAAGTTTATGTCCTTGTAAATACACTTAAATATATAAAAAAATATTTTCAAGTGAGCTAAGGCAGGTCAAAAAATATGCTATGCTGAATGCCTGCATTTAATTCTAAAACCTTTCTCAGACAGAAGGCTCTAGCTCCTTTTATTAAAACACTTTTTTAAAGGATACCAATGGTGAAAGTGAGACATAAAATAGTGGGAAGTGGGCCCAGGGTAAAATGCAATGTATGTTAAAAATATGGAAAATGTTTGGAAAGCCAATTTTAACTGAAGACTAGAATGTTTAACAATAATATTCAAAATATTCACCTATCACTTTACACAAAAGGATTCCTAGAAGATGAGTATAACAAAAAACAAATGAAAAGGCAGCCTTCTACATGAAAACCCCAAAAGTAATTTCACCATCTGGACCTCAGCTGAGTCTGAGGATTTATGTACAGTTATTACAAAAGCAGGTATAATTAGGAACACAGGAGAAAAAGAAAGAACAAGACTGAGATTGCAGTTAGGGGGATCCTGGCAAACAAAGAAATAAAACTGATTAAATTACTGCAATTATGCCCAATCAGTTTACAAAACAAATAGTGAATAGTACTCTCAGGGCTTGAGGTTGGAAACCAATGATTATAATTTGTATCTACAATTACCATAGAAAACCAGAGCTGAAAACTTAAGATTCTAGCCTTGACTCTGCCCAATAAGCTCAATTTCATTAGTAAAATGAAAGGCTATACATAAACTAAGTGAAAATTCCTCCTGGCTCTAATGAGCTACCAGGCGTAGAGTCAGATTCTGCAAATAGGTACCTTCTTCAACAGGTAAGAGAGTATTTGCCTGACAGTCTCCCTTGCTTTAGTTCACTACGCTTTCAAGAATACTATCCTAGAACTCTATTTGGGAGTGTCAAATCATGTCCAATTAAGAAATATATAAGGAAAAGTAAAAGCGATCCCATTTGGGCAAATTTTTAATTCCCCAAACTAAATTCTAAATTAACAAAACCACATTTTTTCATCATCAGGGACTTTTGGAAAAAATATACATGTATTCTAAAGCTATATGTATGTATGTATGTATATATATATATATATATCCTTTGTCCACGTACATATATTTATATATACAACGTGCTGCTGAGGCAGTTCATAAAAAGTGATTATTTCCACGTGAAAATTTGGATTTAAAGAATTCCTTTTTACCTTGAATTTCTCTTTATGGAAGAGAGCATGTCCTACGCTTGCTTGCCATTTTAGTAAATACAGGCTCACACTTATTCACATTAACTCAATGACTGATTTAAAAGAAAATTCATATCGGAGCTTGTGCTTAGAAAGTGAATAAACTTTAAAGAAACAAAATGTATATTCCATTATTTTCATGGTTTTTTTTTGTTAGGCCTTTTATGTTTTTTCCATGAACTAAAAAAAAATGTCTATGTTCTTAGAAACCTTATTAGCATTTAATGGTACTTAGAAAATTCGACAAATCAGTGCTCTTCATAATCCCACTGATCAAATTCACCATGACGTAATGGGAACTAGTATATTTTCTCCATCAGTTAAAAAAAAAAAAAATCTAATCCAGAATCTGTGCCCTATTTATTATTCTCCAATAAGGAGTCTTGAATTATTTGAGAGAAGAATTAAACTTCACCGGGCTTATCTGCTCTAAGGAATCTCTGATACTGAGTAAGGGAAGAACTGTAAATAAATGGCTTCCCATAGTCCTTCCATTTATAGAGTTTTTCTTTTGTGTGAACTTTCTTGTGTCTGCACAGGTTTGATCTGTAACTGTAGGCCTTCCCACACTCCATACACTTGTAGAGTTTCTCCCCGGTATGGATTCTCTCGTGTTCAGTGAGGAATGAATACTGGCTGAAGGCCTTCCCACATTGATTACACTGGTAGGGCTTCTCTCCCGTGTGAATTCTCTGATGCCTGTACAGGTTGGATTTGCAACCAAAGGCTTTCCCACATTCTCCACAAGTATAGAGCTTTTCCCCGGTGTGAATTTTACGATGTTCATTGAAGGAGGAATACTGGTTAAAGGTTTTCCCACACTCGTTACATTGATAGGGTTTCTGGCCAGTATGAATTCGCTGGTGTTCGAGAAGGGTTGAGATGCGTGTGAAGGTTCTCCCGCATTCCAGGCACTTACACAGCTGCTCCCCGGTATGAAGCCTCTGGTGTTCAGCCAGGGATGCAAACTGGCTGTAACCTTTCCCACATTCACTGCATTTATAGGGTTTCTCCCCGGTGTGGATTCTTTGGTGTCTATGAAGTTTTGCTCTACAATTGAAGGCCTTCTCACATTCGGCACATTTATAGAGTTTCTCACCGGTATGAATTCTCTGATGTACGGTGAGGGTTGAACACTGACTGAAGGCTTTCCCACATTCCTTGCAGCGATAGGGTTTCTCTCCTGTGTGTACCCTCAGATGCTTGATCAGGGTTGAACTGCTGCCGAACGCTTTCTCACATTCATTACATTTGTAAGGTTTTTCTCCCGTGTGGATTCTCTGATGGGCAAGAAGGGAGGATCTGTGGCTAAAGGTTTTCCCGCACTCTTCACATCTGTAGGGTTTCTCACCAGTGTGAATTCTCTGGTGTTCAATCAGATGGAGACGCTGGGTGAAGCTTTTCCCACATTCACGACAAATATGAGGTTTTTCTCCTGGATAAATCTGGAAGCATCTCATTAGGTCAAAATTCTGTTTAAAATCTTTCCCAAAGGTGTAATAGATATTGGGTATCTTTTCTATAGGAACACTCTGCTGTGTAACAAGAATTGTATTTATAAGTAAGCCTTTCCCCAGTTCAAGACTTGTCTGCTTTACTTCTCCACTCATGGTTTTTTTGTGGGAGGTCACCATTTGCCTAAGAGATTTCTTCTGCTGCTCCTGTCCCGTCCTGCTCTCAAATTCAAAAGTCTGTCCAAAATTGGTGTCCCAGTGACCACACTTAATGGACCTCTTCTTTATTATTCCCTGAGATGTTTCTTCTCTAGAAATGCCTTGTCTGGGAGGCAAGGCTTCCATTTCCATCTGAGCCTTGAGACCTGGAATGAGTCAGAAGCATAATGATGGCACCTCTACTGGGAGAGACAGACGTGCGTCAGTAGAATGAAAAAATTGGTAATAGTACATATAAAAGAGCTCTGAAACCTCTTTTGATCTCAAATATGGGCTTGCATCTGGGTAAAAACCAGACGAGATGGAAAGAGGTGAAGAGGGGAAGGAGTGGTTTGGGAGGGTACAGCGGACAAATGAACGCTGGAAACGAAGAGACTTGCAACTTGAGAGAAGTAAACGCAGAGATAAGAACTGGTTGAGCAGAAGGGATGAAGCTACAGAAAAATGTCAGCTCGTAAGCTTCAGCTGGATGCCGTAGGATACTTCAGTTAATTATTTCCTACTCTGTGTAAGGAGCCACGAAGCAGGTAACTTGTCTTTATTTTCTCTTTTTAGGTTTACTTATTTTTTTTTAGTAATGTCTACATCCAATGTGGGGCTCTAACTCACAACCCCGAGATCTAGAGTCGCATGCTCCCCCAACAGAGCCAGCCAGGTGCCCCGTTTTCTCCTTTCTATTCACATGCAGCTTTTATTATGTGTTCCGCCATGCTCTCGCCAAAATTTTATACACATTAATTTTAAAATCTCTGCAGTGTTTTAAGTTTTGTGAAATCTGTATGTGAATATGATTTCATATCATAGTCTGTGACATGAGACACCCTGCCATCACTTCTCTCCTTCCTATTTGATCCTGAGGAGAAACAGATATATTTGTCTCTTCTAGTAAGTGGCAACCAGAAGATTAACCTCTGCAGGAATCTCTTTACATGAATGAAAGTCTGCATGAAATGAGTCAATATGTCCCAATGATCTGGCATACACCCAGGGCGCAAGCTCAGACTGGACGGTAAGTGAAAGGGTTTAGTTTGAGCTGATTCTAAGGAAGTGTGGGTTAAAATCTGGCTCTCTTTTAATCAATCCATGACTGAAAATACATTAAAACTAGGTCTTTGGGGCTGCCTGGTTGGCTCAATGGGTTAAGCCTCTGCCTTCAGCTCAGGTCATGATCTCAGGGTCCTGGGATCAAGTCCCACATCGGGCTCTCTGCTAGGCAGGGAGCCTGCTTCCTCCTCCCTCTCTCTCTCTCTCTCTCTCAGTGCTTGCCTCTCTGCCTACTTGTGATCTCTCTGTCAAATAAATAAAATCTTTAAAAAAAAAAAAAAAACCTAGGTCTTTGTATGTACTTAAATAATAAAACAAAGTATAACTAGGTTATGTATGTTAATAAAACCCATTGAGTTTTAGTAATAAAATGTATTTTATTAAAATCAAATAGTAAGAGGAAGAAGACATACAGGCACTAAATCTGTATAAAAATACTCTAATCTTGTTTTTCTAAAGAAATTTAACTAGCAAAGCCTAAATTAGCCATCTCTTTTTCATAATTTTACAACATGCTTTACTTATATATTCTATCATTTTCCTAATATATATGCATATGAAACCTGAAAATAATTCAAGTATTTGTTCAGGGGGAACAGTGGATACGTCTTACGGTTATTTCCTCATCCCTTACTGTGCACACTACAAGTACACAATTAGAATGTCTTACATTAAAAAGATAATGCATGGGGCACCTGGGTAGCTCAGTGGGTTAAAGCCTCTGTCTTCAGCTCAGGTCATGATCCCAGGGTCCTGGAATCAAGCATCGGGCTCTCTCATCAGCAGGGAGACTGCTTCCTCCTCTCTCTCTGCCTGCCTTTCCACCTACTTGTGATCGCTCTCTGTCAAATAAATAAATAAAACCTTTAAAAAATAAAAAATAAAAAAATAAAAAGATAATGAATGGGCAGAGTGAGTTGGAAAAATCAAGAAAGGCACGTGGCCTCAAAAATGAGGTCTTCTCTCATGCTGGATTCCTGAAACCTAATCAGTCATTTATTGAACAAAGATTAAATAATCAGCACAGATTACATGAAACAAAGACATGACTGGACAGGAATAGCTCGTTTCCCCTTGGCATGAGAAGCCTCAAATGTACAATTCAGGTCTGAGGGTCAGAGAACCAAGATACCAGCATCGACAGTATTAGCGGGGAGTGATTTTATGAAGGAAGGTGGATAATAAAGAGGGGATGGGTTTCAGCAGAACAAGAAAAGAGCACCCTGTGCGTCAGAAATGAGACCTGAGCAAAGTCATCTGGGGGGAAGTAAACCTATTTAGGGGACGCTTACTGAGTAAAGAAGGAAATCCAGGCTGGAATTCGTTAACATTTTTATTCAACAGGATGAGGCCAAGCACGGAGTTCCTTAACAATGGGCCGAGGAACTCAGAAGAATAATACAGGTGTTGTATGCTCTTTGGCAGGTAATAATAAGACGAAGTGATCATATTTGGTAAAGTGGGCAGCTTGGACCAGAGCGAGGACAGAGTGGAAGCTGAGCAATGATACAGCTGCCACAGTTATCTTTTCTTTTTTTTTTTTTTTAAAGATTTTGTTTATTAATCTGAGAGAGAGAGAGAGAGATAGGCAGGCAAAGGGACAGGGAGAAGCAGCAGGAGGAGCCCAACGCGGGACTCGATCTCAGGACCCTGGGATCATGATCTGAGCCGGAGGCAGATGCTTAACCAACTGAGCCGCCCAGGGGCCCCAAGGCTGCACCGAGTTTTTAATTTTGAGCCTTATCAGCACTGAGTTCATCATCAAGGCAGCTCAATTAAATTCAAATGCAGGATATTTGATGCCAGAGGCACAGAATTCAAAGAAAGACCTGGTCTCTTCCTTAAATATATACAATCCAATTACAAAAATAAATAATAACGAAGGAACTATAATTCGCTAGGAAAGATGCTGTCACAGATGCATTTGAGACATGGAGAAAGTGGCATATGAATGCGAGTGACTGAGGAATGAATGGTGACTGGGAAGCAGGAGAAATAAGGAAAACCTACAGGTCAGGTGGACAGGTGGGTCTTGCAGGATAAGAGGGTTCCCAAGGGACAAGATGGAGGTGGTAATCCAAGAAGGAATGACACACAAACATAATGAGTGTGCAGGTTTGGCGGGAACATGAACTGGCATGGAAGGGATCACCGATTCCTGTAAAGCGACATGGAAACAGGCTATGAAGTAGGTTTAAGGTTGCATAACTGAGAAGCAACGAGCTCTTCTAAGGGACAGGATTAATACACCTGAGTTTCAAAAAGATTGCTCTGTGGATGGAGCAGAGGTTGGGAGAAGAGAACAAGGCTCAGAGAGGGTAACTCTCCTGTAGCACAGAGCACCGGGGAGCCGTGGCATCGGTAACGGGAGCTTAGGAATGTCTAAATTCAAACCAAGATCTTAAGTGCCATCCTGTACTACTCACTAACTTTTTGGAGATAAATGTCTTTTAATAAAGATGAAAAGTATTTGTGAAACCATAAAAAAAAAAAAAGCCCATAAAGGCAAGAATCATAGATTAAAGGCCAAATCACAAAGACAGAAGGAAAATATTGCAAATCCATGTTACACGGTCAACAGAAATGACAAAGGTGATCTAGGTTTCTGTTACTGCTTTTTAGCTCTTTGACTCTGTGAGCAAAACGTTTTATAACCTCTGACGTGCCGATTCTTCTAATATAAAGAGGGATATCTAAACTTGACCATCTTCAAGTGATCCTCCAGCTCCAACCACCTACACTTTTAGGATAAAGACCAGCGAGACTAGCCAGGGCTAGAAGAGGATGTGTACACTACAGATCTTGGGACCAACTCCAGCTGCTGTTGCTGGAAGGCCGCCACACCAATCCACGTACCACTATCTCTGACTGCGTCTGCATTATGGATGGGGAGTTAAAGGGTTGCAGTAGAGGCCCCCTGGTCCCCAAGCCAAACTATTTACCATCTGGGCCGCTGGAGGAAATGTGTGCCAACCCCTGGGCTGGAAAGGCTACAGTGATCAAGAAGAGCTGGTTGCCTCTAACAGTGGGACACGAGAGCCCAATCTCCCTGGAGATAAAAGGGAAATGTTGAGCTAAGAAATCAGAGACACGGGAGCATCGACAACTCTGAAATATGTGGTTGGTGAAAGAAATTACAAAGAATCGAGACAGAAGGTGTAAAGTATTTAAAATCTGCCAGGCATGAATGCATGTAAAGGCAGATGGGAAGAAAGCCATGAAAGCCAACAGGCCAAGATGGCAGAAGGGAGTGAGGGAAGCCACAGGAAAGGAAAAGAGGTTGAGAATGTGTGGAGTGTTAAGGAGGAGAAGAAAGAGGTCTACACAAGGGCTTTCTTGAGCCAAGAATACCATCACAACCACGGAGCCTCCAGTCAGGAGGCCCTGGCTCATAGTTTCCAGGCAAGTTCTCCCAGCACTGCTTCCTCATGGTGGGCTCATGTACAAAACGCCCTGAGCCCATTTCCCGGACACTTACTCACCTAGAGAGGCATCTTGAGGAAGTTCCCTGTCCACCAGGCAGGGGTCTTCTCCTTGTTGCAACTGGCAGATCACCTTCGGGGTTGAGCACGGAATCCCTGCTCGTGAGGAAAGGAACGGCGTTGGAACGGCGGGGCTTGAAGGGCAACCCCAGAGCTCACAGTGCAGATAAGGGAGCCTGGGGAGGCACAGCAGGCAGCACCAGTGCTTCTGAGGGTCCCGGGCTCTCAGGGGATGGAGCAGGAGGCAGGGCTTGGTTCACAAACAACAGGGGGCCCCCGGCTATGAATGTCTCTAACATGGGAGTCCTGTAAGTTTCTCAGATGCTAAATGGGGACCCAGGAATTGGATAAGGACAGTGGTCAGGAGGCAGGGTGGGAGGAAGGCAGAGGAAGGAGAAGAGCACAGCACGAGGGGCGGCCTGACATCAAACACACACTTTCCACTTCACAGAGACTCGTCCTTCCCCAGCGGCACGGCACAGGAGAAGCTGCAGACTCTGAACCCCAAAGAGGCAGCTCCCCCGGCAGATTCTTCCTTATAGACACGCCTCCTTACCCAGCGAGACGAGGGTGCCGTAGTTCTCCAGCATCACCTCCCGGTACAGGGTTCTCTGTGTGGCGTCCAGGCGCAGCCACTCGTCCTGGCTGAAGAACACGGCCACGTCCCTGAATGTCACAGACTCCTGCAACGGGAAACCCGTTCCTGCTCAGTGGGACCAGCTTCTCCACTGCTCAGTAGGTACAGGGCTGGTGTGGGGATGTGTAGCAACCAATCCTGAAAATGTCCCAGGATTCAAAGTATTTCACCTTAAGTTTTTATGTTATTTTGGGGACCACCCAGCAACTAGGTCACAAATGTCTACTGGGAACCCACAGTGGGCCACCTTCTGGGAGGGTGGGGGGGGGGAAAGGCAGTCCCTGCCAATGGGGAATTTCAGTCTCAGCCTGGGACCTGTCAGAGTAACTGAGCACATACATTCACCTCCCTCTCACTCAAAATCCAAATTAAATGAAAGCGGGGCGGGGGGGGGGGGGCGGATCAGAATACACTTAGAGCAAGGCCATAAAACTGTGGAAATGCCATTAGCAGAACAGAAATGAAAAGGAATTTCTGAGCTGTAAAGCAAATTGTAAGAATATCATTAGTTCTTGTTTACTGGGTACTTGTATGTTAGGGACTATGACGGGAGCTTTATACATAGTATCTTCGCTGAGTTTCAGAGAAATCCTATTAAGAAGATGCTATAATTAAATCATTTTGCAGATGAAGAAACATCTCAAAAGGTGATGTCACCTCCCAAGGTAATCCTGTTAGAAAATGGTGGAGATTGAAACTGAATTCAGGCAGACAGACCTCTAAGCTACACTGTCTGTCACACAGGTTTCCACAGTCTATGGAGACGCAAAGAACCTGCAAGACTACACAGGTGCCAAAGGGAACTGTGAGAGAAGGAAGTTCTTGCAAAAGAACCCCATTATACCCCAAAGCAGAGGTTGGCCAGATGCCAACTCTTGTATGAAAGGGCTGGAACACACGGAAAATGATACATTTTGACCTTGGGGTTCTACTTTTAGGATTCGACTATAAGAAATTCTCACACAACTGGATAGGGCTATTTGTTCAAGGATGTTCACTGGAACTCTACTTACATGCCAACAGTTGTGGTAGGCTGAGTAACGAACCTGTGAACACTATATCACTAGATATATATATATATCTAGTGATATATATATATATATATATGACTAAAAGGACTCTGGGGACACCTGGGTGGCTCAGTCGGTTAAGTGTCTGACTCTTGATCTCAGCTCAGGTCATGATCTCAGGATCATTGACATCAAGCCCCATGTCAGGTTCTATGCTGAGCAGGGAGTCTCCTTAAGATTCTCCCTCTCGGGGCACCTGGGTGGCTCAGTGGGTTGAGCCTCTGCCTTCAGCTCGGGTCATGGTCTCGGGGTCCTGGGATCGAGCCCCACGTTGGGCTCTCTGCTCAGCAGGGAGCCTGCTTTCCCTCCTCTCTCTGCCTGCTGCTCTGCCTACTTGTGATCTCTCTCCCTCTGTCAAATAAATAAATAAAATCTTAAAAAAAAAAAAAATTCTCCCTCTCCCTCTGCCCGTCCACCACCCCACCCTCCACTTGTGCTTTCTGTTTTTTATTTTTTAAAAAAATTTTTTAATAAAAAAATAAAAGGACTCTGAAGATCTTTTTTTTTTTTTTTTTTTTTTTTAAGTTGGTTCCATGCCTAGCGTGGAGCCCAGTCTGAGGCTTGAACTCATAACCCCAGGATCATGATCTGGGCTGAGCTCAAGAGTCGGACACTTAACTGACTGGGCCACCCAGACTCCCCTTAGGGATTTTGAGATGGGAAGAGCCTGATTATCCAGGTGGATCCAGTGTAATCACAGTGATCCCTGTTAGGACCCCAGAGGAGTCACAGTCAGAAGAGGACAAGGTAGTGACATGAGGACAGAAAGAGACTGAAGTCATACACTTTGAAGACAGATGAAAGGGCCCCAAGCCAAGGAACTCAGGCTGCCACCCAAAAATGCAAACAAGGCCTGGAAACAGATTTCCCCTGAGAACTTCCAGAAAGAACCAGCCATGCTAAGAACTTGACCTTAAGCCAGTGAAACTGATTTCAGCCTCTGGACCTCCAGAACTGCAGGAGAAGACATTTACATGGTTTTAAGCCACTGTATTTGTGGCAAGTTGCTACAGGAGCAATAGGAAACTAATACAGTGGTGAAAAATTAAAGACCACCTATAAATCTATTAATGAAGAAATGGATAAGAAAATGATAGGACCCTGATTCCATAAAATGGCATATATATATATATATAACAATTAAATAGAATGAGGTAGATCTATATGGCTGACCTTGGAATTTGACCTTGATACACTGCTAATTCATATGAAAAGTCGAGCTGCAAAACGATCCATAGTTGTTGAAAAATTATCTATCCATCCATCCATCCATCCATCCATCCAGATACATTTGGAAGACTACAACCTGCTGGCCACCCTCATTATTCTTTCATGTTTGTGGAGGGGCGGAAAAGAAATCTTTTGTTTATTACTCTGTACTCTTACGTTGTTTAACAGGCTGTGTGAATTTGTTTTGAAATGTTTTTGATTCATTGTAGTTTGTGCATTGAGTTTTCAGCTCTACCTCTTTGCATTTGTAGTGGTTGCTCTGAGAATTATAATATACCTTCTTAGTTTATGGTCTAGTTAGAGCTAACATTTGATTTCACATAGAATGCAAGAACCATGCGAGTATATGGGAATTTCCACTACCCCTTCCTCATGCTGTCCTTGTTAGAAAGATGCTCTCACTTCGGGCAGTTGACAGGACTCACCAGACCTCACCAGGCACACTCAGGGATGCAATGGCTACAGTGCAACAATACAGAGTGCACTGAGGCCCCAGAGGACTGAGAGGTGTTCCATGTGCAATCTCCCTTTATTTGCACACACGGATGAGGCCGTGTCCTTGGATTTTATAGAAGGAATTTTGATTTGGGAGAGCTCAGAGGGGAAACTCTGAGCAGGGGCCTTTTGTGTGTATTTTTGTGTATCCAGGAAGGCCTGTCAAACCATGTAGGCCAGCTGTCAATGGTCAGTGAAGAAGATGACCCTGGGGTTAGCCAGGGGCACTGGGATCTTAAACAACACATCCACTGCCTTTATTGTGCCCAGGGTCAAAAATAATCCACTCAGGCATACTCAGAGATAAAGACAGAGCTTTTCCGGTCCAGACACAAATGTACTCTAGATCCACGGCTGTCATATGCACTGTATCCCACTACATTATAAACCCCATCATTCAGCATATTTTTGCTCTAAACAGTAGTAGACATTTTAAAGAAACTGAGAGGGAAAAGTATGTCTATATTTATATTTATAGCCTCCATTTCTAAAGCTCTTCACTTCCTTGCCAAGATGAGAGCTCCCATCTGGCATTATTTCCTTTCAGCCTGAAGAACTTCCCTCCCTCTTCATTCTTAAAGGCTACTTTTGTTGGTTATAGAATTCTGGGTTGAAGTTTTCTTTCTTTCTCTCACATAAAATGTCATTCTATTGTTTCTGATGAGAAGCATTTAGGCACTGATGCTCTGTATTTCGTATGATCATCTTATTCTGTTTGCTTCCAAATCTTTGGTTTTCAGTAAATAAGTTGTCAAAAAAAGAAAAAACCTGGCTCTGGGTTCCAAAGACCCTCCTCTCCAGCTTCCCTTAGCTACGACCAAGCTCATGGGTGTGGGAGAGCTCAGTGAAGAGCCCTCCCTCTGGGCAGAGAGCAGCCCGGTCATTGCTAGATATTGCTTTGCACTGAGTCTTGCTGCTCTTTACATTCTGCTTTCCTGAAACACCCATCTCCTTGTCATTCGAGAATCAAAGCAAAGCCTAATCTAGTGGCAAGAGGCATACCAAATTTGGCAGTCCTAAAATAATGCTGTTGCTGTTTATGATGATAAAAAACAGTAGTAAGAGCCAGCATTTACTGAGAATTAATATGCACCATGCACTGGTCTCAGCATTTTACATATACTTTCTTGGAGGCTAATGTTAACTGTATAGGTGGCCTTGTTTGGGGTCAAGGCTAGCTGGGAGACCTTGGTCAAGTTATTTGCTTCTCCGTGCCTCAGCTTCCTCACCTGTAAAATGAAAATATTCAGTCCTCCTGAACAGATCAAACAAGGTTTGATCATTTTATTAATTTGACCATTTTATTAATTCCGCTTACAAATGAGGAAATGATGCACATGGAAAATAACTTGCCAAGGTCACATCCCTAGCTTGGTTATGAACTTAGGAACTCAAGTTCCAGGGTCCACATTTGTAACCTGTAAACTAACACTACTTTGGGGGAAAGCAGCCAGTGAAAACAGAGGCTTTGGGGATGGCAGAACAGAAAATCCACAGAAGGAACAGGAGCTGGCACTGGGGGAAAGCTGTGACCTCCATGTGGGAAAAACTCCCTAAAAGTTTGGGAATGACAGACTGTTGTCTTTAGGGAAAAGCTCCAGCCCCTCAGGCTCTTTCCCAAATCTCTAATTTGGGAAAGATCTTCAGAAGGTTAAGGTAATGAAAATGGATGTCAAAAGGGCAAAGAGCAAGAAGAGCCCAAGAGGGGAAACAGGGGACAAGATTTAGAGACAGAAACATCAGTCGGGTCCAGAAGGAGGACATGTAGATAGTATGCCGTCCGAGCTACGCCTGACATAGGACTCCCAGCCCTCTGTCCTCTCCAGGGCTGGCCTCAGGGCCCAAGCTCAACTGGGCTCCTTCCAGGATGCCCACCACCAGCAGCTCTGGCCTTCAGTACCAGCTCGAAATGACCCCACACCCAGGATCTTTTCCTGACTCTTCTTGGACACTGAATCATTTCCTAAGGTCAATGCCAAGAACTCCCTGAAGACAGAAATACTGCCTTTCCTCTTTGTAACTCCCGTGCTCTGCATAGCATCCCATGCATAGTCGGTTTCTCAACAAATGTTCGCTGAGGGTGTCTTTGCTCCTTCCATGTCTTTGCCCCAAGTGAGACTATATCCTCTGTGAGGACAAAGACCGTCTAATATGCAATACTGCGCACCAAGTGTTTATTGTAGCCGGAAGCGTGTATTCAGAGCTGACTCAATCCTGGGTCATCAAATGAGGTTAGGGTGAATTAAGAGTGACCTGGGGACAGAGGAGGCACATTCCTCAGCACTCCCTCCATGCATCCTGCATCCTGGGGAAAACTTAAAAGCTCTAGATACCCCCCCACCACCCCAGTTTTCTCTGGAGAGAAAAGTACCCAGACAAAGAATGGAAACACCTCCACCATCTCTAAACCCAGAAAACAATTTATGAAAAAGACAAACTTCACTTACTGTCACCTCAGTGGGCAGCAAATCCATGGCCATTCTTTCCTTCTCAGTTTTCCTATCGAGGGAGTGCAGACCGCTGACAGGGTAGGTCTGGAGAGGAACAGGTGTCATGAGGAACTCTGGTGTGAAGGACGGCTGTGAGAGAGGAAGTTCCAACCACCCGTAATGTCTACCGGGTTCCAACAAAGCCACAGCACATCAAAGATGCAGACCAAGTAAAACGCGTGCTTACCAAGCCAATGAAGCTCTAAGACAATTCACCCATTTCCATCTCCCTGTATTAATGATATTCTAATTGTTGTAGGTGATGCTATACTGTCCCCTAAGGTCTACTAGCTGTGACTCACCAGCCTGCAACTTTCCCTAGCTACCTGGAGGCCTTAGGAAGCCTTAAACAGTGCACACTGTAAAACCCACAATGAACATGAATTTCCCTGGCTGCCACTTTCAAACACAGGCAGCCAATCCTCAGTCAGCCTGCCCCACCTAGCACTTTCCTTCCAGAAAAAGCCACAGTAAAGGCACTTGTCCACATCTGCCTTGTCTCTGCCTCATGACCCACCCAGGTGCTTTCTCTGAGTGGCCTCTGCCTGGAGTGCTGCATGGGTCCCGGATATAACACAACCTGCAAACCTTCCTTGCCCCACCCCCACCCCCGCCTGCGGCCCGACCTTACTGCACCCACAGGAATGTGTTTAAAACGCTCCCTCTGGCAGGGATGCACCCCAGATTGTTGCTTGGCAGCCCCTCCTAATCACATTCCACAGGGGTCTCCTGGGAGAGCACCCAGCTGGAAACAGCCCTGCTTCTAACACACAAACCCCACCCTGGGAGGATACAGGAAAAGGGGGCCTGGAACAGCCAGACCAGTGTCAGAGGAGGGCCGCGCCACAGCTGCCCGCACTGGCCGCCTGGGTTTGCCTGAGGGCTCTTCGGGGAGCAGCACCCGGCATGAGAGCTCGGCTAGCTGAGTGTGGGGTGTCATCTGGGACTGGGGCACCTCAGCCAGGTTGGGAAAGCTGCTGTAGGAGTAACCGCAGACACTCCAATCTCCTCCGCACCAGAATCCGGGGTGCTTGGCATGTACTCTTTCTAAACCTCACCAGGACTCTAAAAAGTATTGCTACCCTATTTTACAGATGCCAGGGAGGCTGAGAATTTAGGGAGTCGGAGCGACCTGCCCAAGAAACAAAAATGGTAAGTAACAGGGGCAGGAAGGGAATCCTTGTTCGGGCCCAGGGCCCTCGCTAAATGTGGCAAATTAGCAGGCCACTCTGCCCGTTTCTCCGTCTGTAAACTGGGGGCAGCGCGCAGCCACTTTTCAGGGCATAAATCCCGAAGGATGAAATGAGTTCATTCATCCAAGGCGCCGGCCCACTGCCGGGCACACCGGGCACACCGCGTGCTCGCGCTTGGCGGGCACGAGCTATTGTTTTTCCATCACACAGAAGTCTCCGAGAAGACAGTCCCCCACCCCCGCCCCCCGCCCGCAGCAGTCCGGGGACGCTCCAGCTCACCTGGCAGGGCGCTCCCTCCCCGCGAGTCTCCCGCGGACCTGCGACGCCCGCAACGCACCGCCGCGGGGGCCGCGGGGACTGGCCCCTGACCCACGGGCCGCGCCGCGTCTCCCGGGGCCCGCGCGCCGCCCCGCGCCTCTCCGCGCCCCCCAACCCAACACCGTGCCCCCCACCCAGCCCGGTACAGGCGCTGGCTCCACCGCCGCGCGGAAGAGGCCTCCGGCAGATCTCCGCCCCAGACAGGCAGCCACAGCGCAGCCGGGGTCGCCTCCGCCACCGGCCCGAGAAAGGCCTGGAGCCGTCCCGCGACCCCGCGAAGCCCCGGGACTACCACTCCCGGCATGCCTCGGCCGCGAGCGGACTACATTTCCCAGAAGGCGGCCGGGCGAGCCCCGGGAGATGCCCTTTCCCTCCCGCTGCGAGCTCATGGGACCCGCTGTCCGTCCCCCCACCCCACCCCACCCCACCCCACCCTCCGCCTCGGGAGGTCCGCGGCAGCGCGAGGGTGCGCTGTCGAGTAAAGCGGACGGTCTCCTCCCGGTGCTGGCTGGCTGCATCCGCCCGGGGGCTTATTGTGCTAGACCGGCAAGGTAATTTGAAAAAGCAAAATCCGAATTTAGAATCCTTTAGAAGGATCCGTGCGCCATGGCCCCCCACCAGCTAGTTACGATAATTTTTATTTTAATGCCTACCATACTCAGAAGGTGATGAATGCATAGCTACAGTTTAAGAAACCAATACCCACATACCCAACACTTTGCTTAAAAAGGTATTTGAGAATTTCTGAAGCCCTGTCCGCAATGCTCTCCTGTCATTTGTCTAAATTGTGCTAAGCATTTACCTTGCTTAGCTTGATGGTATTATATTCCACAATAAGTGTTTATTTTTGCAAGGATTTTGATCTTTATATAGATGGAATCTGCTGTGACATATGCTCAACTTGACCGCTGTTTGGAAAAAAAAAAAAAAAAAAACCAAGTGAGTGTATTTTACAGATCTTATTGCTTTATTCAGTGATTCTTGAACCAGGTAGCATCCTAGCAGGTAGGAAGGAACTCCAAGAAGTACTACATGCAACCCTTTTATAGGCAGAAGGGAGCAGGAACAAGGAAAGTATTTTAGGCAAAAAGTGGATTGCTTATTGCAAGGTTAGTTTATCTACAGAAGATGGCAAAGATTTATCAGGCAGATTACCTAACTAATGATGATCACCCAGCTCCTGGTTGGCTGGTTTAAGATTCCGTATCTGGAGGAGCTGAAACTCTAAGTCTTTGTTTGGTGAAGGGGGAACTTAGCCCGAGAGATCACTCTTTGACAACTTTTAGATTCACCTATCTTGATACATGCGAAGTTCATCCATTATCACTACTGTATAAGATTCCACTATTCACTCATTCAACAACAATAAAAATCTTCAACACCTCTCTCGCTCCTGGCATTGTTCTAGATGCCAGAAATACACGTTAAACAAAACTCTCAAAACCTCTGCATTCGTGCAGCTTAAATTCTCCAGAAGGAGAAGGAAGAAAGATGATAAACTAGAATAATAAATGGTAAGTTTTTAGGGAGTGATGAGCGCTAATGAGAACAGGAAAGGGGGAACAGTAACCCTAGTTGGGGGGGGGGTTACGGTTACTTATACAAAGTGTTTAAGAAACGTCTTACTGAGAAGGTGACATTGAAGAAAGATCTGCAGAGAGATAGTAAGCCCAGTTAAGGATCTGTGGGAAGGCTTTCTGGCAGGCTGAAAAGCAAATGCCCAGAGGTGGGAGCACTCCTGGCCTGCTGAAGACACATTAAGGAAGCAGGCAGAAAGAAGTACAGGCGAGATCAGAGGCAAGAGGACTAGAATGTGCAGGCTCTTACTGGTCATGGTCACTGGATCTTACTCTGGAAGAGAATGTTCTGAGCAGTGGAGATGTTAGAGTAGGCAGTTAGTTAGGGGTTAATAGGCTGCCGGATGTCAGCAAAGGGGGGGGGGGAGTCAGGGTCAGCTATTGGGGGGTGTTAGAAACCTGTCTGGATAGCAGTACCCAAAACAAAGCCACAGGAAGCCGAATCAAAGCAGACAGGCCCAAGACAAAGAAGGCTGGAGACCCTGATCAGGTAAGGGAGAAAAGGTGAAAAACCCTGTTCCCAAGAAATCCCCTCCCCAAGTAATACATATTTCACCCTTAGTTAAGAACTGTCAGTAAAAGATGTAGAGACCCGAACCCAAATAAACTCACTCAAATAAACTTTCCCACTTACACCACTCAACTGCGTGTCCCATCTCTCCTTGAATTCCTTCTTGCAACATGACCAAGAGCCTCCTGCAGCATCCCAGCGGCAGGCAGGGCAGAGGCCTCAGGACTCTGGGTCTCCCTTGTCCATCCTCTGATGTCCATTTCTAAGTGATGACTTTGACTGCCATGCTGAGAGTTAACCAAAGGGTCAAAGGAAACAGCTGAGAGACTGGGGCTAGCTTAGAAGTCCATGGTCCGTCCCAGGACAATGTGGAATAGAGCCCACTGGACCCGCTGGACTTGGGGACATGGGGTATACTGTGGAAAATGCCACCCAGATTCTACTGTGAACCTGAATGTTCTCAAAGAAATGTGCCATAAAGTATTCATATCTTCTTGCCTTACTTATATAAACTCCCATGGAAGTTTAAAGTGTATTAGAACATTCAAAAGGGATTGCAAATATTTAGGAAAAATAACCCAAGTGACCCAAGCAAAGAGATGCTTGAGCAAGATGGTGTTGGAACAGAGGGCTCCAAAGGGTAATTCCATTACAACCCTATAAATTTATGGAGTCATGAAAACCTACATTTTTTGTATACAATTTTTTATTATATATAATTTGCTTAAAAGAAATTGAAATCTTGCCAGCTTGTTTTCTTTTGCTCATATCTTTAAGTAAGCTCCACTCCTAACATGGGACTTGAACTCATGACCCTGAGATCAAGAGCTGCATGCTCTTCCAACTGAGCCCATGTCTTTCCACTGAAACAGAGATCACGAAGCAAATGGTGATTATTACAGAGCAGCTTTTAGACCTCTTGCCATAGGCATCACAGTGGGTGTGTTCTGTCTTGAGCACAAGGGCACACAGTAGGCACTTAAAGATAGAGAGAAATTAAAATGGGGCAGACATGATGTGTAGTTGTTTGGGAAGATAACCGAAATGTTTCTTTGGGTAGATGAGGTAGTGATGATGGTATAAACCTCAAACTCCCATCACAGCCTTTGGAAAAACAACAAAGGATATAGCAGAGGAAAGAGGTAGTGGTGAAAGTGGCAGTAGTGTTCCTAAAATGGGTATAAAACCACCACCAGGAAGAGAAAGTACACTCTGTGAGTGAAAACAGCAAAACTGTGCAGGTGTAGAAGGGAACGGAATAGAAATACTTCAGAGTACATGCAGGATATTTAAACAACTCCTATAACTCGACAACAGTCCAGTCTATTCCAAGCATGGGCAAAGGATTTGAACAGAACATTTCTCAACAAAAGATATAAAAATGGGCAAAAATCTTATAAAAGAGAGCTTCTACATCACTAGTCATCAGGGCAATGCACATTATGACCAGCGTGAGACACCACTTCACACCTTTGAGTGTGACTATTACAGAAGGAAGCCAGAAATTACCAAGTGTTGGCAGAGATGTAGAACCACCCATATTGGAACTGGAACCTTCACACGTTGCTGATGGCAATGTAAAATGGTGCAACCACAGTGGCAAAGAGTTTGGCTATAATATCCACTCCTCATATGACTCCACAATCCCACTCTTAAGTATCTGCCCAAGAGAAATGTCCACACAAACACCTGTACACAAACGTTCACGGAAGCATTGTTCCAGATCGCCAAAATGTGCGAATGACCCAAATGTCCATCAGCACATAAATGGATAAATAAAATGGGATGGATATTTACAATGGAACACTACTTAGCCTTAAAAAGGAAGGATATCCTGACACCTGCTATAATGTGGATGAACCTTGAAGACATTATGCTAAGTGAAATCAGCCAGACACAGAAGGACAAATATATGATTCAACTT